AGCAGCATGAAACATGGGAAGATAGTGAAGGACTTACTAGGACTGTGCGTGGACTTCGACGAGACCTCGGCTAGCGGTAGCTCGCCGTATAAGGATGTGATCCTCACTGCATGTGAGGAGAGGATCAAACGAGCACTCGAGGGGCTCATTGTCTCCCACGACCAGTGGATGGTGGGTGGCTCGGCGGCATTTCTGCGGAGGAGGGTTCGTTTCAGGCAAGCAATCCTTCAGTGAGACTGCGCATCACCCGAAGGATGGCCAAGATGTACGTAATTGTACATGCCCGAGCATTTATTTTGTTGATGTTAGATTCTCATGCGTGTGCTTCGTCGGGACCCCCTTCCTCCCGCTGGCTACAGTTCACATCGATCAACTGCTCATTCACGGGATTCTTGATCGACTAGGCGCCCTTAATGATGCGGATGATGCGAAGGAGATACTGGAGAGAGTTCTGCGGGCTATACCAGAGCATTGGCTGTTCCAGGTGCCCCCTGCCAGCTCGGACGAAAGTAGCCCTCCAGCAACCTCTTCCTTTCAGATGACCCCCGAAGCTCGAGATTCTCTCAGAGGGTCGTTACAAGCTGCCTGCAAGAAGTTCGAGGTCGATATCAGTACACACTGCCGTGTTGAATGTATCACTAGATCAGCGTGATTGTCTACGAACGATGTTTCCTTGATCACGGGGTTGGTGTTGTTGACTATATCGATCAACATGGCGAGCGCGCATGACGCTTTTGTCCGAACTGGTGACTGCCTTTCGTCATGGATTGCAGCATTTGAATGATAAACTTTCTAGTGTTGGGCAGTGGGAGGTCGTCAGTCTGAAGATCTACATTGCCGCGAATCAGACCTTCTGTTTTTAATGTCCTCAGCACCTAGGAAGAAGGTTCTATTGAAAGTCATCATTCTGGGCGATAGCGGGTAATGGTAGAGGGCACACACAGGAAATCACGAAGGTCGTCGCTCTTAGGGTGGGCAAGACTTCTCTAATGAATCAGTACGTTAATAAGAAGTTCAGTCCGCAATACAAGGTGGATCAATGCCCGTTATCTGACCGGTAATTATACGGTTGGCTTTAGGCGACTATTGGGGCTGATTTCCTCACGAAGGAGGTGACGATCGACGACAAGGTGGTGACACTTCAAATTTGGGACACAGCTGGCCAGGAGAGATTCCAAAGTCTAGGTAGCTTGCCTTGTCGTTTCAATGGGTTAGGGTTGTTTTTAGGAGTGGCGTTTTACCGTGGTGCTGATTGCTGTTGCTTGGTCTATGATATCACCAATCCGAAGAGTT